CAGGTGAAGGAAATGTCTTTAAAGTTGATTCACAGATTTAAGTCACGATGTTATTTACTGTAGAAACGTCGTTTTGTTAGCTCTGATTATTCTAGCTACCTTTTCTCTTATTAATCAAACGCTGATTTTTGCCAAGTTCATTATTCACAAACGTAAGTTTACAAGCGGATGGCTGCATTTTCGTGAGATTATAAAAGAATTGTAGCAAATGTCTCCATGATTTCTTTTTCACAAAATCGAAACGCTGGCAGTTCCAATCTCTGTAATGTTGAAGTAAACTTAGTGTAATCCTGTTTGCAGTGTGTTCTGTTTTACTGGAGTTAGAAGTGAATCTTATTCAGAGAGGAAAATGTATTTACGACACAGAGTTATTGTAATTGAATATTTAAATCAGTTTTTGTTCTTGTTCACTTCGGTGGCCTCAGGATCTGATCTTTGGTTTTTGTGGGCGATGCGGTTCTTTTAGCTTCTTGGGATCATGACCTCCAGCTTGCACTGGAGCTGTCTGTGGAGAAGAGAATTATCCATGTCAAAGACCATGGTTCCCAGACAGAAAAGGGTGGCGAGCCCACTCTGAATCTGGGATAGGTTACTGCCTGAAATACAGAAGTTCATGGGGTCGTGTTCCTGAGTGAGGGGAACGCCAGATTGGGGCGGTATCTGGAGCGATGCGGACGCAGTTTGTTGTGGTGAAGAGAGAGCTGAGTATGAGAGCAAGGCTGTCGATTTAGCGGTCTATATTCCTACCTCACCTGTGGAACAAGCTCTGAGTAGTGACTAAAGAGGTTACGGCTACAAGTGCCAAGAGATGAGTTTCCTTCGAAGAGCGGCCGGGCTCTCCCTTACAGATATGGTGAGGAGCTTGGTCATTGAAGAGGGACAGAGTAGAGCCATAGCTCCTCCACATTGAAAGGAGCCAGCTGAGGCATCCACTCACTAGGATGAATCCTGGACACCAGCTAGGTGACGTGTTCCAGCCATGTCCTACCTCATGCCTGGCCTCAGTCAGACTTGCAACCTGAGCCCAGATACACAGCAGAAAAATTACTCTGTCATTTCCTTCAGGATTAATGAAGTATTTCTGATTCTGATTCTGATGGATGCTTTGAACCGAGTTGAGTTGTTTCCTTTTCAGTTAGTTTCCAAAATAGTTTTTCTGGTTTTAGTTTAGGCTTTATTAATAAATATGAAATTAAAGATGCCTAAATGTTTGTTCACTAATAGGTTCAGTTAACTTTAATATCCCTGCTGTAGAAACAAAGGCCTGTTTGTTTGGTTTGTTTTGAACTTTA